GCCACAAACTAGCACCACACTATTTCTTGTCGTACGCAACCCCACTAGCACATCAGATTAAGACTAACGCAAGAAACCAAGAGAAATCAGGCCTCATCTTCACTTTCTTCATCACTTTCGTAAATGAAGGGGAAAACAACATCTTTGTGCCCACCCAAGTAGCCACCGGTAGTGGGATGCAAAAGCTCTTTTGCACGGTCCTTGCACCCATAACAGTTACCTTATAAAACAAGGAAAGTGTATTAGCAGTAGAGATGCATAACTAAAGTATCTGCACAAAAATATCAATCTGAACAACATAATAGATAGTTACCCGAGTCATTAGCTTCCAAAGGGGTGCAAAGATACATATCCTCCTCCTCTCTACAATCCGGATGCACCTCCGCAAAGAACAAACTAGATGGGTCACCTTGCATTTTCACAAGAAAGTTAAAGTGTATGTATCCCTTTCCCCCCTCGATGATTAGGTTTCTTGCTTTCACTTTGATTACCTCGAGGTCAGTAGGCTGAAATACAAATGACACGTGTAAATTAACAAGCCTGATGAGATATATTTTATTGCATTTCTAGTCTTCAAAATCAAATCATGGGATTTTAGCTATTCTAAGTAAACAATTAATTAACAAACTAGTCTAAAAGCAAGGTCAAATATTTGAGTATGATGTTCGCATACTTGCATACTGTTTTACTTGGCATAGACGTTCAACGCTATTATCAAACTCTTCTGGTTATGCTCTTGGCTGCGCCTCAGCAGCTCCTCACGGGGCGGTGTCTTGGGCCTGCGAATGAGCTGGCGCTTTGCAGCAGCAACCCAGGCATCACCCAGCTCCTTGAGAGTAAAGGGTGATGGCCTAGGAGTGGGGTCCTCCCAGGTCTCCAACTCAGCAAATCCATCCCTACATACCAAAATTAACTCATTAAAGCATAATCACTAATGACTTAACATAAAGTTATCTCAGAAAATTAGATGACAGGGCAATTAGATGAGTATCTTGTCTAAACAAGTTGTTCATACAGGAAAAAACCACATGTACATGTGAGCACATATACAATATTCGTATCTACAAATTTTATCATGCAAGGAACATTGCAATGATTAGAAGACAGTGAAGCACACATAGAGCATCTCTTTGGCAAAGTGGTTGTTATACTGGCAAATACTACGATATGGTATGCTATATAAAATATGCATGAGATTCCAAAAGAAAAAATTGAAAACACTCACTGGTCCATTGCCAAGGGATGGACAATGTGAGCTACCTGGTCCGTTACCAAGAGTGCCACATCACAGTAGTACTAAGTTCTTTCCTTCCAGTTTGTACTTCCTCCTCTTAAATATCAGATGGGACCGACAGTTATGTATTTGTCCCTCAATTTGCTAGCGAAGACTCAATGCAGAACTTGAAGAAAAAATATAGTTTTACTTTTTCTATGTCATAATCGGAAAGTTGGTGGCCTCGGTACCAGGTGGGCTGCCAGTACCAGAAACTTTCTAGCTTGGACACCCCCGCATAGTTTTGAAACTTGCTCGATTCGGTCCTATGAGTCCTTGGTACCATTGAAATGAGCACATTGTTCATGCTCGAAAGAAATCAAGCGTGTAGTTATTGCAAGATTCCCAATCTATACCCCTTATTTGAATAAGAGATTGTGACTGAATTGGTATACATCAATATATCCGTACACATCAATATATCCCAACTTGCATATAAACTCGTGTCGCACGTGAATCGGCATGCTCCTGCACATAGCGAGTTGTTAATGACAAGTGAAGTCCATGTGAATTAGACTGTATATGCACTTTGCAACCAAGGGGTGAGTTTTCGTCTCAACCACTGTCTGCATCGAAAATCATAAAAAAGGGGTGAACTGAAGCAAAAAATCATGTTTCATCACCATTAACTCTCTGTTAGACTTAGTGTATCCTTGCCTCCTTGGCATGTATGCATAGTGCGCATGGACTTATAGTGTGAAATGGGGAGCAATAAGCTTTTTAACAGCAAAATAATAAAATGCATAGGCCACCTGGTCGGTATTTGGCATGAATAACAACTGAGCGAACTGTGCAAACAGTCTGTTAAAACAGATATCATTGTCCAGTGGTTGGGGGCGCATGATTGTAAACCCAACGACCAGAGTTCGATCCACGTCGGGGACGAATTTCTGGAATTCTCATGAGGGATGCTTCTTCTATATCAATAAACCGTGGGTGCTAGTGCCCATGGAGTTTCATTATTTTTTTTTAAAACAGATATCATTGTCGAAGGCTGAATGCCTATCTGTTGAAGCAATTATATCGTTTAACACTAACTGTCATAGACCAAGCTCCTGAGAGCACAGATGTGAGGAGAGGCCTCCTTTTCTGTTTTATTATTGATCCGTTGTTACCTCTAGGTCTTACACGCTAGTCCATGGACAAATTTATTGATCCACGAGATCAGACCATTCCTAACAAACTCCAACTCTAGCTTAAGGAAGAAAAACTCTGACATATTCCTATCTTAACAAACTCAAACTCTGAAAACTAATTGACAAGCTTGGTAATAGAGATCACAAGGTATGCCCATTTAACCTGGTATTTTTTAGATGGCAAGTCGATCTTCTTAAGGGCATGTTTGGTTGGAAGCCATAACTTGCAATACCTTAAGTTAGGCATGTCATACTCTACATTAGCTTGGCGTGCAACAAAAATCTCGCCACACTTTCTACTGCTTTGCCGCACTTTTTTCACCCATTTTGTGGCACCGGATTCGTCCGCCAAATCTTTGGCGCACTTCAGGTGGTGGGAGAAAACAGGGTTCCTCCGACTGCCCACGGGATGGAAATGATAGCACATACGTACACGGGTATTTCACCACTCTGGGCAAAAAGAAAGCATGAACTCTCTCGTGTCTTTTCCCCTCCCATTCTCTCCAATCTCGATTTCATCTTCTCAACTATTCCTCTCCAAATCCCCCTTCTATTTTGTTTCGAAGCCCCCTACTCACTCCACTGAAAATCCCCATCCAGATCCAAGAAAAATCTTGAGTACCATGGTTGGTTTCTGAGAACTGCGGATGTTGCCCATTTCGTCACTCCATAAAAAATCATTTCTTCTCATTGGATTGGCAATGGCAAAGGGAAAGGGGAAGTTGGATGGCGACATCAGAGAATCATAAGTTGGGATGATGAACAGGCCAAGTTCATGTTCGATTGTTACATCAAGTGACGAAACAGAGCAGCATGCAGGCTTCGTTTTCAAAAAGCAACACCATATGAAGTGTGTTGATACTTTAAAGTTTAAACAGAGAGTTGGTTGTGGGGGTTCCACTTGAACAAGTTGATCGTCACTACAGACTACAAGGATAATTGGAAGATAGTCGAGACAGCTCTGAATAAGAGTGATGGCTTTGATGCAGCCAAATGTAAAGTGGCCATTTCAAAGTCTGAAAAAGAACAACTTAGTGTAAGTTTTTTTCGTTCATATAAAATACACCGTCCTAAAGAATTTTATGATAGTGATTAGATTATACACATGCATGCAGGATAGGGCTAGGCACTTGCTCTTTAACACCATGAAGTCCTTTCATGAAATGCAAGAACTTTTCATGGGCATTATTATGTTGATGGTTCCCTTGCCATGGATCCAGAAACAGGTTTGGATGATGGAAGTGGATCACCCAACTCCAACTCACAAGAACTGGATGACATTCAGAATGCAAGTGGGGCGGGTAGCAGACACCGTCACATGACATCGCGGGCGCCCACACATGAGCATAGGAGAGTAAACTCACCACTTCATTGAACCGGGGTGACTATCATATTGGGCTACCAAAATTAAAGACTATCCACACATTTTCGCCAGACCTGTGGCAGGTTACATGGCAATTATCCAAACAGGTCAAAATTTGCCACAGCTCAACTAAGCTATGGAAACCAACCAAACAACCCTGTTTTTGCCACAACTTAGCCATGCCACAACTACGTCACCCGCCTAATAACCTTAGGTGTGGCAAAAATGTGGCTGTCAACCAAACATGTCCTAAGAAACTGAAACCTGTACGCTGGGAGAAGAAGCATGAACCAAACCAAATATGCTTCTAGTTACCTATATGACCTAGATCGTGTGCAAGTGGTAGGGAGATGGAACCAACTATAAGACGATCACATAGAATTGAGGGCACACGTGCAAATGCAATAAATAAGATGTCTACGCACCTGTTGAAGATATGTTCTTCACCAGAAACTGAACCCTGTTCGCTAGGAGGAGAAGCGGTTCCACTCGAGGCTGAAGAGGAGCTCCGGGTTAATGACATCTCAGCTGATCAAGCCTGCAACAAGAGTGGGTGGTGAAATTGCCGACGACCGGATCTTGCAGCCAAGGGCTAAGGTTAGGGGGTCTCTGGGGCAGCTCGACCCCACCTCGAGCTTCACTACACCCCTCAACTCCCCTTCACCTCTGTATAGGCCTAAAAAAGAGTTTGCTTGACTAACAAATTAGCTACGGCTCCAGTTTGTGAAAAGATTGTTGTGGCTAACAAAAATTGCAAATTGAGAACAGTTTTCTGTAGGCCGAGCTACCTGATACCCTATATCTGGGCCGTCCAGAATGGACTGTTCGCGTTGAGATATCTGCAAAAGTTTAAAATTTTGCAGCTCTGCCAAGACTATCAACGCTTAATACAGTACCAAGCTGCTGTTCACGATATGAAAGGACATCTGCCCCTGGTCCGTCTGTCTCTCACATGCATCCTCTGACAAAGTCTTTCACCTCATGTCGGCTCTCTCTCTCACATGCAGATGAATTGACAGCCCCTGGGACCCATGAAGGTGTGCAGACCATGCAATCACTGCCTCGAGCACCGCATTGAAGAGCATGGGAGGCCAGCGATCCTATAGTAAAGGTAGTTTGCTGTTGTTCTTGTTAATTAATTGGAAATACTTCAACTGTTGCATTAGTGTTTTCAACTAAGAATTCAGATTTATTTTTTTTTGTTTATAACGTTGTGCAGTTTTTTTGGCAACAAATAGAACATATATAATCGATCGTAAAATTTTGTTATAATTGGAGAAGTCCCGTACACAAATGCTCGTCTCCCCATGCAAGATTTTAATATAGAGCTGCGGTGTGCATGCTGAGTTGATAGGGGATAAATAAAGAAAAAGAAAGTTGATACACAGAGAAAAAGTTGCATGCAGTATTAACACAGAAAATTTATCTTATCGTTTGAATCATTTATCGCAATGAACGTACATGACAGAAGTAAAAAAAGAAGATTTATCTTACCATTTGAATCCACCACGCAACTACTGTATGACAGTGCTGTCCAATCTCTCTCTGCAGCATCCATGTGGGGCAGTTGAAAAGATGGTACACAAGTACACCACCGGCTGAGCTGCATGGAGTAGGTTGCAGGCCTATGCCTGCTTGAGGTTACTGTTCAGAAGGACATGACCGCACCTGCTAATTACACTGCTGCGCCGCTCCTGATGTGTCTTGACCACACAAATCTTAAAGCAACACATAGTGGGTATCATGTAGCTCGTGCTAGGAAGGAACTTTGTGGCAAATTAGGGGGTCGGCTACCTTCAAAGCGGAGGGATTGAGGAGGGTATTGGAGGCCGCGGTGGAAGCAGGCGGCGGCTCGACCTTGATGTAGCGTCGCTGAGGTCTTGGAGGAGGCGGCGAATTCCTGGAAG